ATCACGAGGCCGATCATTCTGAACAGCAGGTCCTGCATTCAGGCGGGAATAAGGAAGGAGTTTGCGGATGTAGCGAAGCAAAGCAGGTTGCTGTATTGCAGGCAGAGATCTTGGCGGGCGGGGGACATGAGATTATAACATGCGATGTCGCTGGGCTACGGCGCACGGCACAACGTGTTGCGTCGGACTGCGATTATTGATGTAGTGGTGTAGATGAGTAAAAGAAAGGGATCGCGTGCGTTGAGTAGCAAGGAACAGATTTTCTGGCGCTTGGTCTGCAAGAGAATGTTAGCGCACGGACGGATACATCTATGAGGGTGAACGCATACACTGAGCTGTTCTTGTTGTGCAGGCCAGATGCTAGCAATAATGTCCGGTGAGTGTCACATATATAGATCTTGGCATCGCTCCCGACTGTGTAAGTCAGTTGGCGTGAGTCTGGCAAGAGGATAATAGTGCAGGTCCCGGAAACATCGAAGGAGGTGAGGAGATGGCGTGACTTGAAGGCCCAGAGCTTGATGGATGGTGTCGTCGTTGGAAGTACTGGCGAGGAGAGCACAATCAAATGAGAGTGTCAGATCCTTGACATATGTGGTGGCCCTTCGAAGGGAACTCCGACAGTCTCCAGTGTCGACGCGTCGAACTCATAGATTGTCATGGCGTCCGATCGTCATCCCTGAAGCTGAATGCGCCCACGATGTATTTGTCATTTGTTGTCCAGAACACTGGCGCGTACATGCATATCCCGGAGTCGACATATTTGCTCACTCCGACATCCAGTTTCTGTGTCTGGACATCCCACACTTGAAGGCGTGTCGCCAAACTGGACTTGACTGCGAGTTTCTTCGAGTCATAAGAGAATCGAACTGCGTCTTGAATGGACCAGCGACGAGTTTGCAAGTGTCCAATCGATGGTTGATGGCACGACGCGTGAACAAACTTTACTGCCGCTCGAGCAATGGAGATCTTGGAGAAATTACGTCATCCCAAGTTGTACCTTTTATGTGAACTAGCTAGACTTGTTAACGTGGATCACGGAGTCCGGACCAGAATTCACTGCGGAAACGAGTTTTTTACACCAACCGTAATCCGAGGGAGACAATGTGTATAACACGACTGTAAACGTACCTAGCTCGTAATCAGACGTAAATCCGACATGTCGCAAATTTTGCTCGCTCGGTCTGAAGCAACAGATGTAAACAGACGCTTTTCCAACTTCACCAACACACTTTTTCGGACCTCCGTTTATTCTCTTCAGATACCTGCTATTCCACCACTATCCAGCCCAGTAAATTCAACTTCTCGATGTCTGCTTAGGGTAGACTTGAAGCAAGGTGAGTTTTTCGAAAATTTCGCTAAGTCCGTAACTCGAGCGCTATGTCAAATACTATCAGGCTCGAGTTGCCAGCTCATGTACAAGCTTTTACTTTTACCTTCGAAACGATGCGTCCGGGACCCACGGTGAGTACTAAGTGTATTTCTACGAGGCTACTACCATTAATCATTCTTTTGTAGAACGAGCTCCTTATCGGTGTGCTGTGCGTGTTCGGTCAGTCGTTTGACCTCTGTGACAAGATATGCAACGGTCTCATTCAAATTTGGCGACTGCTCAAGTGCCCCATTTCGCCTATTCACGTTCTGGTTCACGTGCGGAAGGTGAGTGGCAGGCTGTCGACCCATTGAATATAGCATCATAGCTTGATACTCCTCGCTTCCAGGAACAACAGATGGTGCCCGCGAAGATGCCTCACTACCCGAGTCTCCTGCGAAATAACGGTATGGTGTTTCTCCTCGAGAGGATGTACTATTTGAGCTGAAATTCTGTGGCACGCTACCAGCTCGCATGGACTGGACGGGTGTCTGGTGTGCACCGAAAAAAGGATACGGGGATGGCTGACGCATATCGGGTGAGTGCTGCGGACTGGTGGAACGAAGCCTGTTGTTTAAATGATCTTGGTACATAGGTCCCCCAGCGAATGCGCCGCTGGTGTTGTGGTCACCGTGCTGTCCATTGCCTGACTGAATCGCATCCAGTAAGTCGCTTGACTTTTAGTGGGCGATCTACAAGCTCTTACCATCTCAAATCGAGGTACATTACCACTGAAGTATGGATCGTGTTGAGGCGGCTGATACGACACTTTCCCGGCGACCTGGGGTATATTATATTGAGGATATGCTTCTCCTGCCCCTACCAGTGCTGGCTGCTGAGAATCAGGAGCGGGAGCACCACTCGGGCGTCTCTGAGTCTGTTGGCCTTGGAACCCATACATTCTGGCGTGCAAGGTGGTGGGGGATATCAAGGACCGGGGAGCATATGTGGGGACCTAGCAGGACGAGTTCTTTGATACGGCACATGTCTATTCAGAATAGAAGCGGATCCGTTTATGCATAAATCCAGACATAAAGTAGACGTGCGGATCCTTATAACCTGGTCTGATACCGAGTTGGTTTAGATACTAAGGCAACAAACCCTATCCCTGCAAATCCCTAATATTCAGAGTCGGTTTTAGTTCTCAAACGAGTACCTTTTTCGATCTAGACGGGTAGGAATATGCTTGTTTGGCATTGTCCGTTTACATTCCGTTTACAGCCTCTAAACATACATAATTCCGATCCGTTCTAAATCTCGTTTCCGCAGTGATTGATACATGCAGTCGTGCCAGATTGGCCAGAGTGTGTCCTGGACTGCGGTGACAGAGTCCTCCGAGGCCTGTTGCGTGTAATATGCAACACGAGACTAAACAACAAGTCGATCGGTCCTTGTTGCGAGCTGGCATTGACCTTGCTTAAGTTCATCTGCTGGCATTGCAAGATAGGTGGATAAGTTCTTCCTACATCGCTATGAGGAACAACTTAGCATATAAAAGCAGAGCGTCTTCCTAGTACTGTCCCCTTCAGATTTATTTGATCACATATATCATATCCTCGCAAACAATGCGTTTCTCCATCGTCCTCGCCGTTGCTGCTACTTTAACAGCATCGATATCTGCTCTTGACTACTGTCCCTTGTTTTGCTGGCCCGGTATGAGAGAATGCACAGCATGCACTCCGGGGTCTCACTGTGTGAGTATGAGTAGTTTGTGTCCTGGATTTAACCACATCACTCACCGGCGTGGTAGTTGATCCTTGCATGCAGCGGGGATAATGTGACGGTGCCACCGTGAGTCATGTTTCTGCTTTCACATCGGTGCAGTATGGTTGATGGCACGACGCGTGAGTAGTACTTGATCAATGTGTTCCGCTGGAGCAATGCAGTTCTTGGAATACTTAGTATAAGGTTATGAGTCTCGGACGTGTCTTGGCTTTGATTGTTTCAATTTATTATCACGAGCTCTTTGCAGCATGGCCGGGTATTCAAGTAGCTACGACTCCTTAGTAATCACCAGGCTGGTATCTAGTCACTTACGTGCGAGAATGCATCTCTTTCCTTGTGCCGTCATCACTTCGACCTGCCGTCACAAGCAAATGTCCCTCACCAGTACATGTCTCACATTCCTCATCAACCCCTGCAACACAACATGGGCCAGGGAAGATGAACCTAAGTCGATCAGATAAGGTTGACTGACAAAATTCTGCACCAATTTCTCAAGGAGGATGGGTGGCGTATGAAGGAGCCATGGAATTCTGTCTATGGCCCCGGGGGTGAACGGTATGACGCGTCAGATTTTATCATCTTACCTGTGCTTATCGCTGTTTATAGCGGATACATTTTAGATCACTCGGCACAACTGCCAACCCCGGTCTTGTGCACGATGAGTGGAGGTCTTGAGACCTTCTTCATTAACTTTTTGCACAAACCTTCGCCCAAAGAGTGCTGCTAAGCCCGTACTGAAGCCTTGGCTCACAAGAGATAGAAGTGTGGCCCAGGTCAGCGTGCTTTCACCTATTGACCTTGCTTCACGAGGTAGACCTTAGGTGACAATCTGCTGGCATTGCAGGATAGGTGGATAAGTTCTTCCTACATCGCTATGAGGAACAACTCAGCATATAAAAGCAGAGCGTCTTCCTAGTACTGTCCCCTTCAGATTTATTTGATCACATATATCATATCCTCACAAACAATGCGTTTCTCCATAGTCCTCGTCGCTGCTGCTACTTTAACAGTATCGATATCTGCTAGTGACGCTGACGGCTGTCCCTTGATATGCATCCCCGGTTTGAGAGACTGCTTATGGTGCAGTAAGGGGTCTCACTGTGTGAGTATGAGTAGTTTTTGTCCTGGATTTAACCACATCACTCACCGGCGTGGTAGGTGTTCTTCATTTGCAGCGGGTAGTATAATAAAGTGTGATCGTGAGTCATGTTTCTGCTTTCACATCGGTGCAGTATGGTTGATGGCACGACGCATGAGTAGTTTTAGTATCTGAGTTGATCAACGTGTTTGCTTCTTTACTGCCGCTGGAGCAATGCAGTTCTTGGAATACTTAGCACAAGGTTACGAGTCTCAGACGTGTCTTGGCTTTGATTATTTCAATTTATTATCACGAGCTCTTTGCAGCTTTGCAGGGTATTCAAGTAGCTACGATTCCTTTCACAAGCAAATGTCCCTCACCAGTATACGTCTCACATTCCTCATCCACCCCTGCAACACAACATGGGCCAGGGAAGATGAGCCTAAGTCGATCAGATAAGGTTGACTGACAATTTTGCACCAATTTCTCAAGGAGGATGGGTGGCGTATGAAGAAGCCATGGAATTCTGTTTATGGCCCCGGGGGTGAACGGTACGACGTGTCAGATTTCATCATCTTACCTGTGCTCATCGCCGTTTATAGCGAATACATTTTAGATCACCTGGCACAACTGCCGACCACGGTCTACAGCGCCCTTATTCGTGTACCGAAATGGTTCATGTACACGATGAGTGGAGGTCTTGCGACCTTCTTCATTAACTTTTTGCACAAACCTTCGCCCCCAAAGAGTGCTGCTAAGCCCGTACTGAAGCCTCGGCTCATAAGAGATAGAAGCGTGGCCCAGGTCAGCGTGCTTCGCAGAGGCTTGCGTTCGCATTTTTAAGCTAGGATTCGCTGCAAGACTTGCTAGTCGCCCGCCGAGAAAAGTTTGGGAAATGTAGGCGGTGCAACGTTGCTCTGTGTTGCTTGAATCTGAAACTTGAGCGAGTTATGGTTAATAGTTGATGACGTGGTTGGTGTGCGGCATCACTAGTCCCGCGCACACGACTTTTTTCGCATAACATACCTTCTTGACACCGCCAGTGATGTCCATGCTTGTTCGCTCAATGCTGCCCAGAACCTTTGCTTCCGTAACTGGTCGCGATATCTTGCATTCTGCATTGTAAGGGAAGCACAATCCAAAAACCTTTCTTACCCCTCATGAAGTTTTGCTACGCAATATGTGCCAGGTGGACGTACGTTCATGAACGCACGAGACGAGCTCACTCTTGTGCTCGACAGCGATTTTAAAGGGCACAATCAACGACCCTACGGAGTTCCCTCCTTCATCAAGGACGAATGGTTCGTATCACTGGGCTTTCGAGCGACTTCTTGCGGCCTTCCTCATTCCCATGACCGCAGCTGCTTTCGTGACTTCTGGATCATCATGTCCCGTCCTCGACGAATTACCAGGTATTAGCTTAGTGATGCGCTCTCATTGGGGTGCGTGGCCATTAACGGTGGATCTTTGCGAGAATCTGACATTGGCTTCTTCATGCTAGTTCGACTTAATGACGTGCACAAACGCAAATTCCCCATCATTAGCCCTATCATGACTGGGACACTAAGATCAACGACGGTCGGTGTGCTCGTCAGCGTGTATCAGTTCCACACCAATGATATTGGTACGATCAATATTCCTATCTTTCATCATCCGACTTAATTCCTGTAGGCTCGACGGAGCTGATTGCGAAGGTCTGGACTGCATTAGATCTGACACAGGGTGGGCAGAGTGACTTCACGCGTGGTAGGCCCGTCGCCCGAGGCGACTTTTACACTGTATTGGACGTGGAGACTCATAGAGACCTATGCACGCCTGCCACACAATATTATACATGCGCATTTTTGTCAAAATAGGCACGACAAGGGCAAAGTCTACAAGTCCCTACAGCTAGATATCGCACAATGATTGAACCAAGCCCTGGACCACTATGTCTTCCACTCCTGAGCCGACCATCCGTGCCTTCTCGAGGAGATCGTGTTTCAGAGAGGAAGCGCACCTCGCGCGATACAGTACAGCATTTTTGAGGTTGATGTATGCCTGATGTGCGTTTAGCATGTCGAACCCGACTACGTCCGCGAGTTCGTGTGAGTTTGGAAATATGTCGGAGAAGAAGGGAGACCCACCGAGATAAGTAGCAAGCCGTGGTCGTGCACTATGAACGCGTCCAAGAATCTTCGCAGTCTCCACTCCAAATGCTATGCCTGCAAATCGGAGACGCGTTATCTAGTCACGTCTCAGTTTCGCTGGGGCTCGCTGCATCATTGATCAAGACAGCCAAACAAAAAGAAGGTGATGCAGAGTAGATGACGAGGTTCTAACTTCGGCACCATCCAATCTGCAAGATGCTGTAATCTTTCGGGCGCAGAACTGTTCACAAGGTTCGTGTACATATTCATTACGACAGTGCCAAGAGCTGATGAGGCCGACAAGGCCATGGAATCCAAGCTGTCATGGATCGACTTGATGTTGGTAGCGAGGATGATGAATGGGATGAGGTATTATTAGTATTGTCGTCGATGTCGTGGAAGGAAAATAGTCATCTGGCACACGGCATAGTTGGACCAAAGTAGTCTATCCATAGCTGGTTTGGAGGTCACTGGGAAGTCGAAGTTAGTTGGCGCGCGATGGCTGCAGCTTAAAGTTGCTGGAGGACTGGTTTGGGGTAAGACAGCCTGAGCCAGAATTGTAGGTGACGGTTCGAACTTCGGTAGAGAACTGGTTGCGTCTTAAGAATCACGTGACGTGGTTATCATCAAGCGTGCCCGTCCTATAACTTAGACTGGTACTTCCAGAGGTGGCTTGACGCCGCTCTTCTCATCTAATATCTCTGTAGGGTCAATTTGTGGTGTAAACCGCAGCCAAAGTCATGGGTAAGTCGTTCACGCACAGTCAAAAATGCCTACCTGACTCATCTCAATCTTGCAGACACCGCTGTGGCAAAACAGCTTGTTGACAAGATTTATGAGAAGAGAAAGGCGGCTGCTCTCGAATTAGAGAAGTAATTTAGCTCGCTTACAGTTAATAGTAATGTGTTGAGCGTTCTCTCAGACAGATTCGGGAATGCCATCAGCAAAGTGACCAGCGCCGTATAAACCAGATCATCGAACAGCTTGTGGATATGTTCAGCAATCCGTCAAATCCCCTTCACATCAGGAATGGAGGACTCATTGGCCTTGCTGGTACAGCTATTGCCCTTGGCGTGGACGTTGCACCGTACATGGAGAAATTCATCGAACCCGTTCTCGCATGTTTTACCGACCCAGAAAACAGAATCCGGTATTTCTCCGCCGAATGTCTCTATAACATAGCCAAGGTGTCCAAGGGCGAGGTTCTTGTTTACTTCAACCCTATATTCGACGCCCTCAGTAAAGTGCGGTAGCTCCTCGTCAAGTTTTGCATTTCGACTGAGTCGAACTTCTCAGCTAGCCGCTGATTCAGAGCTGTCGGTCAAGAATGGGGCGGAGCTGCTTGATCGACTTCTGAAGGACATCGTGGCCGAGACAGCTTCGGTGTATATTCCACAGTATGCAGAGACGGAGAGGATCCGCGACCAGTTCGATCCTCAGGAGCAGAGTATTCTCGTCGCTTACCCTGATGACCGATCCTTAGGAGAAAACATACCTACTCAGAAGAAGGCCTTTTCCCTCGCGCGCTTTATTCCACTTCTGCAAGACAGGATATATGTCCTTAGTCCTTTCACAAGGAGCTACCTCGTGTCTTGGATAACCGTGCTCGACTCGGTCCCAGAGCTCGAACTTATAACATACCTCCCAGAGTTCCTGGACGGCCTCCTGTCAGTCTGAAAGGTTTGTGTTCCAAGTTCTTTGCTGATGCACTCGTCCAGGAAGTACTTGTCAGACCCCACCGAGGATGTGCGCGTGGCCACAGAGAACATTCTTGCCGACTTCCTGCGTGAAATCAGAGACGTCAGCATGGTTCGCCAACGCAAAGAAGAACACGCAGAGTCCTTTGATCTACGACGCTCGGATGAGAAGCTTCCTGATATCACGATGTCTCACTCTGAACGTGCACTTTTCATTCCTGAGAGTGACTTTGCTCATGATTGTGACGGAGAATATAGTTTGAAGGATGAGCACAAATCAGAAGACTACCGTGGCACTGGAGGTAGGCATTGATGAAGCGCATTCATTGAAGCTACTCACTGTTCACGCAGCCTTAGTTCCTGGGCAGGGTGTACGGATAGACTATGCAGCTATCATAGAAATTCTCATACAACAACTTGACAACCAACGTGAGCTGCTTCCTTCTAATCCAAATGCATTGTACTTATGCTTGCGCATGCAGATGACGAAATTCAACAATCTACGGCCCTTCGTTGGCTTGCCGAGTTCTTGACCTTCGTGCCCGACGTCATGGTGCCCTTCACGCCTCGCCTTATCCCTGCCATCCTCCCTAATCTAGCACACCATGTCCCGATGATCCAGTCAGCTGCACTACGAACTAAACAAGCTACTTTCGAGCGTCATCCAAAACCTCCCTGACCAGCGGAGGGCCCGTCCGGCAGAACACAGCGGACAAGCCGATTGTGTTCACAAGCTCACCAACCCCAACTCCTCAGTCACTGCAACCCTCACGGCCAACTGTACAAGCGCCGTCTGAGATGCCTCCTCTCCTGAGCCAATAGGCGATAAACCAGCCATCATCTTCATCCGATAAGACAACTTTGATTCAGCGGCCTCGCTCAGGAACAAATCAAACTGTCGTTACGGAATCTTCGAGCAGACCTCAGTCACGCATGTCATCAAATAGTACACCGGGTGCTCCTCCACCTGCCCCTGTTCCAGTGCCTCCTTCGCCCGTACCGGAGGAAGCAGATCGGTTTAATTACCAGGCGACGGTGAACGAGCTGACGATACAGTTTTTGAGCGAGCATGAGCAAACCAGGGTTGCTGCGCTGAAGTGGCTTATCATGCTGCATCAGAAGCACCAAAGAAGGTGTGCTTGAACTTGTCTGGGGATGTTACGAACTGAGAAGATTTCCAGATTCTCGCAATGGATGATGGTACTTTCCCAGCATTACTGAAGACTTTGTCGGATTCGTCCGAAAGAGGTACTCTAATGGCCATCGATTTGCATCGCGCGGCTCATTCTTTCGTTAGGTTATCAAACATGACCTGCAACTCCTCGCGCAAATATCCTCCTCCTCGGAAGAGAGCTACTTCAAGGTCTTCATGATGAACCTTCTCGAGCTCTTCAGCACAGACAGGAAGCTTCTTGAGGCCCGCGGCAGTCTCATCATCGCCAGCTATGTCTCAATCTACAATACAGAGAGGATATATAAGACATTTGCAGAGATTCTGGAGAAAGAAGATGTTGGTCTTTTTTTAGGTTTGTGGTTCCTGGTGCGATGTTACTGATGGGGTATACAGGATCTAGAGTCGCGAGCGAGATCGTGCAGAAGTTGAACATGATCCTAATCACTTCACCCGAACTGGCGGAGTTCCGAAAACGGCTGAAGAGCCTTGAGACAAGGGTTGGTGGTCGCAACTTCGTTTGATGCCTTCACTGATGGACCACGTGCAGCAAGATGGCCAGGCGTTATTTACCACGCTCTATCGGTCATGGTGTCATAATGCGGTTGCGGTGTTTTCGTTGTGCCTGCTTGCGCAAGCTTACGAGCATGCATCAAATTTGCTATCCATCTTGTGAGTTGGCTAACTGTCGATTTTGATCATTGCTGATGATGTTGTGCCAGTGCTGATCTGGAGATCACTGTTCCACTGCTGGTCCAGGTCGACAAGTTGGTGCAGCTGATCGAATCTCCTGTGTTCACCTGTGAGTTATCTTGTAATAAATGAGATGAATTTCAGATGTTGATGATGATCTGGAAGACCTTCGCCTCCAGCTCCTCGAGCCTGAA